CTCTTTAACTGAGAATAATTTAACCTCTTCAACTTGGATCCTTTGTCTAGCAAATCTTGCTGCAATGATCTTGGACCTTGCTTGCTCCCTGAGATGTTACCCACTGTTGGCACTGCAGATGGACCACCTGCAGGTGCTTTAGCCCCAGCAGTTCACAGCTGGAAAATTCTGGTGAAGTTTGCTGCCTTAAAAAAAAAAAAAAAAGAACCAACCAGTCCTTCATCAAGTGTTTAAGCTAACACATTGAGTTGTGAAGGCTATGAAGGTGCTCCAGCTATGAAGCAGTGGTCCATAGCAGAAGGCTGGGATGGACAAGAGGGGGCAGTAATGTTTTAGGCTGCCACAGCTGAACCTGCCGGAGGATGCTTATCTATCAGAGCCCTGGCTCCACAGGAGGCAATGGGCAGGTTTAGGTGTAACTGATCTTCTGCTGGTGCTCAAACTCTCTCTCGATGAGTGAACGGAGAACTTTGTGGAGTTATGAGGCCACAGATAAATTCATCCATTTCATTCTTGCTTACCTGTTCCCCATTTTATGGAGAGAAGCTCAAAACTGAAGGGTTTGATTGCAAGTCACAATGGAAAATTAAATTCTTTGTTTGCTGCAGAAGTCTAATTTCCATCTTGAAAAGGGAGAGTGTCTGTCTGTTATTGGTCCATCTAGGTCAGTATTCTGGCCTATAGTGGATGCCTTACAAAAGGATTTACAGTCAACACAATGACTGGTATTTGCTCTGTCATAGCCTCCTAATTTCCATTTCATTAATAATTCCAGTCCCTCTCTTTTCAGTCTACTTATGCCACCTCTAACAGCCATAGCAAGAAGGTTCACAGTTCAGTTATGCATTATGGGGGGGGAACACTTCTGATTATTTGTTGTAAACCCTTCATAATTTATTGACATTCTCCTAGTTTTTCCTACTATGAGCAAAGACTTCTTTTTCTGAAAGCACTTTCAGAGTCAGTCATTTCCAATTATTATTAGGGAAGCATTTAATTTTTAGGGGGTCTCTTTCTAAGAGGTGATGGTCACAGTAGCAGGATGGTGGCAGGAAGTAATTTCCTGAAGCCATTCTGTTAATATCGGTGTGATTCCATGAGACACTGAGAGAGGTTTGTCATGAAACCAGTTTTACCATTTAGGGAGAAAGTTAACTTGTGATTAAAATCACATTATCAAGCTTTTGTTTTGTTTTGTGGTGGTGGTTTTTTTTCCGCTACTGCCGTTCCTCTGTCAACATTGGGATATTATTATATGGAAGATGGTCTTTTGGGAATGGACTGAGCTGTGGGTCAAGCAAATAATCAGAAGATTCAAAGATATTGATATTTCCTATGGTGAAGAAGAAAACTGACCAGAAAATGGTTTCAGTAATTTTAGTAAATGATTGAACTAAAAAAAAAAAAAAGAGAGAAACAAAAAACATAAGAGAGAAAAATGAATGAAATGTTCTTCTTGTGAGATGATGCTGAAGACAGAGTTGTATGCGTCCACTTTTGAGTAAACGAAATGGTTAACATTGTTATTTTAAATTAGGGGATATTTGTTTGCCTTTTAGGTGTGCAGGAAGATAACCGTAACTATTTACAGTGTCCCCAATAAATCAGCTTCTTATTGTATTTCCCCCTGTAACTCACACTCCATGTACCACCTTCCTCCACCTACACTGAGAACTGAACCAGCTGCTTTTGGTGATAGTTTTATAGACCCTTCAATGAATGTTTAGATGGAACAGCTACAAAAATGGTTGGAGGTATAGAAGGCAGGTAGCGTGTCATAATGTCCTTCTCATAACAAGGGCCTCCTTAAGTATGTATGTTTATTGTCACCAAAAGCTTCTCCCAAATTTTTGCTGTTTTCTGATAGGCTCCAGCCTAAACTTACTCCTGGCCAGTTGATACCTGTTTGTTCTGGTATCAGCAGACTTTTTTGGCTCAAATGATTTACTTCCCTTCCTAGTGGTTATCTTTACTGCCTTACAGGGAGCAACTGCATCCCCCGTAAATCCCCCTACATCCCTCTGCTGTGCGTGCTGGTCTCCATGCACGCTGTCAGTGCTGGATATCCTCCTTCAGCCTCCCGTGTTTCTGTTGCCTCCTTTTTCAACATGGGCAGCTTCTATTGTGCAATATTCTAGATGGGATTTTAGCAGTGCCTCTTGTGTACTTCCCTGTACTTCCTATTTCTGTTGGAAACGTTTTTCTGGATACATCCCAGGATTGCATGTGCATTTTTCACAGATGTGTCTCAGCGGTGACTCACAGCCATTTTGTGCTGGGATGGGCTAGTGCATCCAGGCCCTTCTGCTCCAGGCACTGATCATCCTCCAGCGTCTAGCTGGGGCTTGTTTATTTTATATATGTGAGTGTGCGTTGTATATTAGTGACATTCATCCCACTCTTATGTCTCCAGTGTTTAGGGTCATGGTGCATGTTGTATAACTACTCAATACACCTTCATGTTCAAATTGCTTCCCAACTTTGTCATCGGCTGCCATAATTACCCTGCTCTGGCAGGGGGGTTGGACTAGATGATCTCCAAAGGTCCCTTCCAACCCTGACCATTCTGTGAATTCTGTGAATTACCTTTTTTGTATGCAAGCCTTTTATCAGTTAACAATGAAGCAGAAGACTGATTGTTGGGTTTTGATCAGCGTTTTTGTTAGCAACTTCCAGCGTCTGTCCAGCTTTTTCTTCCCATGCTGTCTGTCATAATCTCTTTTGGGTAGGATCTCTACTGCTGTCACTGTTCTCCAGTCTGTCACTGGTCTCCAACTTTGCACGTTTAATGTGATACCACATGGAAAAGCATTAAGTAATGTTTGTTGAAAATCCAGATAGCTGAGACTTATATGTCTTTTGAGTAAACTCCCTGCAGCAAACCTGTTGTGTCCTGATCTCTTTGTAGCTTTACATCCTTATTCCTCTTTGTCAGCCTTTGCTGAAATCTTACATGATGAGTTCTGTAGCCTTCTTCTATGTGGCAAGTCAAACTGGATCATGAAAGTACTGGCACTAAAGTCTTGAAATGAATCTACATCATCCGCATTTATGGAGGTAGTTCTCTATTAGTTTGAATATAGTTGACTTTTAATTGAGTGTTGAGCAATTGTGTGTGGTGTTTTTGTTGGACAATTTTGAAGACAGAGTTGCAAAAAGTGGTGTACATTTTTAAAATGCTTGCCTGGTCATCTGTTTTCCTTCTCTCTAATGGCAGTGGTGGAAGATGATACCCTTTGTTCCAAAAAACAGCAAATGTATTTTGACATAAAACTGGCCTTGAGCAATGTGCCAGCCCAGATGGACTGGCAGCTAGTGATGCCATTAACTCTGTATACAGACCTAACACTGAGCTAGATGGGTAGTAGCTAGCTGAACGGCTAACTGGCATTTCCTGGTATGGTGTGGTTTCAACAACATGTCTACATAAACTTGTCTGAAGTCGGTTGGAATTACAGAATCACAGAATCACAGAATGGTCAGGGTTGGAAGGGACCTCTGGAGATCATCTAGACCAACCCCCCTGCCAGAGCAGGGTCACCTACAGCAGGTTGCACAGGACAGCGTCCAGGCGGGTTTTGAATGTCTCCAGAGTGGGAGACTCCACCACCTCTCTGGGCAGCCTGTTCCAGTGTTCCACTACCTTCAAAGTAAAGAAGCTCCTCCTCATGTTAAGATGGAACTTCCTATGTTCAAGCTTGTGCCCATTACCCCTCGTCCTATCACTGGGCACCACTGAAAAAAGACTGCTCCCATCCCCCTGGCATCCTCCCTTTAAGTATTTGTAAGTATTAATAAGATCCCCCCTCAATCTTCTTTTCTCTAGACTAAAGAAATTGAGCAGTTTTCGAACGGTGTGATATCCAGGGTAAATATATATGGTATGAACCTACATGCCTGGTCTTTATTTCTGTTCCTCCAATAACACCGTCACAGAAGTCTTTGTTAAATGTCTGAGTAATTCAGTACTGGTTACATCCTGTGGCAGATACCTGCTGAGCATCCTAATAGGCACATACATCTTCCTGTAGACCTTACATCCTGGTTAAAATAAGTTGTAAATGAAGTGATTTCTGCAAGAAGAGCATTAATTTTTCTTAAAGCTTTAAACTTTGCTAAAGGTAGCGGTGGGTTAAAGAAATGCTTTATATTAACGTTTGTGACTTATCTGGCTTGTTGGGCAGATGTTTGAAAAATTTTTTTTTCTTCAGTTTTTTTTATTTTTAAGGAAAAACAGGTTTGCAGTCTGGTAAATCTTAGTTTCTTTGGGGGTTTTCTTTTTTTGAAGTTCAGGTTGTAGATTTCTGCACAAAACTTCCATGGCATAAGGCTTGGGAAATTAGATAACACGCTTTAAACAAGCCACCTCTGGGTAAAGTACATCTCTAATTACTGAGACTAAATTATGTGGAAAGTGAGCTTGTGTCTGAAGTAAATCTCCAGTTCAGTAGTCTAAAATTAAATAATGATTAACTTAATTGCTTCAGGATCATAAAAACAGCTCTTAATAAAATATAGGGATTAAGTGTGTGTTTTGAGAGTGGATAATTACTTCTGCTTCATTTTCAATGACTTCTATCAAGACAAGGTTTGTAGGTAAAAGAAATACCTTTTGTTATGCTGATTAGTAAAGCTAGGAAAAGTAGGCTGGTTCTTGAGTATGCAAGGCCTTTCTCTGTTCTGAATAGAAGCTGCAATTCCACTACTAAATATAAGTTGAGAACACTTGCTTTCAATTTCATAGATATGTGCCAGTTAGACCCTCTGAAAGCAATAGTAGTTGGTACCTCTGGAGCAGAGTGTAGTATTAGTACATGGGAAGAAGGATGAAGTAGGTTTTTTCCCCAAAGAAAAGAGAAAGATGGGTAATTTAATAAGAAGAGTTTGAGTTAAAGAATTTGTGGCCTGGGTTAGCAGCTGCATGTTGTTTGCATTGTATTTTGCTTCTAAACAAAATATTTTTACCTTCATTCATTGAAGAATGTCTTTTTTGCTTATAGGCAAATGAGAAAGCAAATCTCTTGAAACATAAACAGTGGTACTTCCCTGGAGGGAGGAGATGGGGATTCTCCTGTTGCTCTGAGTGTTGCCAGGTGCCAGAAGTGGTCCCCAGTGGTGGTGGTAAGAAAGAAATCTTCCCCCACGTTTCTGTATTTGCGTTTTGTCTGTAGCAATAAGATGCTTTTAGAAAAAAAAAAAGGGGGGGTACAAATCCTGTTCTTTTCCTAGAGCTGTATGAATTGCTGGGAGAGGCGTCAAAAGTCTCCCACTCTGAGAATTTTAATTTAGGGACAAAACCAACGCTTCAGCTTGTTGCTTGCGTAGTGTTTGCTCCTGCTCTCTCATGTATGCTATATCTGTTGGAAATCATTGTAGCAAAGGCTTAACCACAAATCAATCTCCAGAGGACTCTAGAAATACTTAACTATCGCCTCCCCCCTTAAATGTAGAAGGGGAACTGTGGCCTTACAGTGCTGGAAGGACCTCCTTTACAGAGTTCTTAGAAATCTCTTGAATGCTGATTCTGGGGTCATCTTAGGCTACTTTTAATCCAAACATCCTTAAATTTTGTCCAGTAGCCAGATATGGAAATATTAAGTTATAGCAGCAAACTTCCTTCTTTATGCCTCTTTTTTGTAGTCTCCTAAAACAGTGACAGCAAAAGTGGAAAGCTGATGAGACCCTACTGACACAGCAATAGGACAGGTTTTTTTCCAGGACGGGATCTTAAAACCCTGGAGTGGTTAGAGTCAGATGTTGACATTTTAATGATGATCTCTGATACCCTGCCCCTTCATGGGCTATTAGTAGTGCTTTTTTATAGGAAAGTAATTTACTTTTGGTGATTTTGCAAAGACCCAGAGTGTTCCTTTAGTATTCTGTAAGCTTTGAAGGTCTATTATAGGACAAGTAGTGTCCCAAGAAACTTTCTCTGATTCACAGGGCAATACATACTGGATCAGCCACAGTCTGTGTTCAGGGCATGTATTCTGACCCCATGCAAAGTTACATCCTTCTGAAGATGTACATTTTCCTGCTATAGAGGAAGTTATATCATTTATCCCAGATCGTATTAGGTGGGCAAATAACCACTTTCTGCAAGCCTCAGGTATTCTCAGATCAAAATTTTACCCTCCAAAATCAGTTACTGCAGCTGAATCTGGTTAATACCGACCATTTGCAGCTTTGGTGGGTGGAGGGAAACCCAGTAGGTTGATTCATGTAAGTAGCCTTGTTACAGTGTCATGGTGACCAGCTACTTTCAAAATGGGTTCTGCAAAATGTGTTTGCCCGGGCTCATTGCCATTGGTGTGAGAGCAATGCCCCAGAAATACGCGGAAGTCTGTTTTTATGCATTTGCTGTTCTGTAGCATATTTTTCAGCTTACACGGCTGCAATTTTTGCTTTTCTTCTTTGTGTGTAAGGCCTGGAAAGGCCATCAATGTGAGTGTTACTGAGAAGCTAAAATATGCTTGGGGGGCAGGATTTTATGAATTGTGCACACCTCCTGCATTTTCAAGCTCTGCTTCTGTTTGGAGAAGAGAGAACTTGGGCTTCTTGTACCCAGCCCTGCAGGCTGCCAAACCTGGTGACTGTGCCCCTTGTGTAGTGCGTGCCTGGGTGTCTTATATGGGGTCGCTAGAAGCTGCATGGAGGAATAATCTGGAAATGAAATGTTCTGAACAAAGTGGATGGCCATGCTGGAAGATGCATGAGTTGAATAACCTCATGAGTAATTCTTTCAGCCTTCACCTTCTTGATTGTTAAGATAAATCCTGAGCGGGTCGATAGATATTAATATGGATCAGAGACATTTTATTGAGAGCTTTTCAGCATCCCTGTGGATGCTTCTTCTGCAGAACAAATCTCCATTTCATGAACCAAAGCACAACTGGTACCAACAGGCACCCAGTCAAGGAGGTGAGGGACTGAATTATGGGAAGGCCAAGTTATGATAGCATTTGCCATAGCAGCCATCCCCTCCTGTTGGGGTTTATGCGTAGGCAGGAGGCCTTATAGGTATCATCTGCTGCTATTGTCCTTATTGTGTGTCTTCATGAAGGGATTTCTGTTTCTCAGACTTGCCAGCGTTACAATTTGTAACAATTGCTGGAAGATTCAGTTTTCATATAAACTTAGTTGGGGGCCACAGAGCAAAACCAAAAGATAAAATAATCATTGCAAAGCACTTGTCAAGTACTAGCCAGCAGGCTAGACCAAAAAGCAGCTCACAATAGCAGTCACAATGTCAAGAGTTTTCTGTAGTTCAAGCAAGGAGAAATGTAAAGTACATGAGAATACCAGTTACTTTCTCTGCTTTCATATTTAATTTACCAATGGGGAGGCTATGGTAATGGGCTATTTCAAAGCCTGTAAGACAGAGGCCTCTTCATTGTCAGACTGAAAAGCTCTACCAGAGATACGATGCCTGCCATTAGTCTGGTGCAGTGTGGTTTTTAAGCTAAGAGTCAATTTTGCACAATATGCGGAAGAAGCGATGTTCTCTCCTATTAGTTCTTAATAGATAGTGCACTGAGTTGAGACACCATGAAAATGAGAAAGGACTCTTTTTTCTTGGTAGTCTAGAAACACTCGAGGAGGTCTGGGTGTGTTAGGTGCGTTACAGCGTGGGGCACTCTTCTGCAACATGGAAGGTGTTGCTCTGAACTCTTTCAGGACAAGGCGAATATTGTTTCCATCTCCTTGACTTCAGTGTGTCTCCTCTAACTACTCAGCCCACGTATAAGAGACGAGCACCAGAAGATCAGCTCTCCTTGGTGTGATTTTTATTTGGAAGAAGCGAGCATGACAACAGTGTTTTGTGAAGCACTTGGCCCTCTTGATCTTTGAAAACACTCAAACTGTGCCCCACTAAGCTTTGCTCCCCAGAAAGCTTAGGGAAAAAAGAAAGAGCAACCTTGTTGGACAATGCTGGCTACACTTGTGCATGGGACCTAGCGCTGTTCATCCCTGCTGGGGTGGTCACTGCTCTGGGCCGGCACAAGGACCACTTTTAGCTAGTGGGTCAGCTGGTGGAAATCAAGGACCAAGGATCTATAAACTGGATCTCCTACGGATGTTTCTTTTCAGAAGAAAAAACAATCCAAACTAAAAGTGCTTTATAAGAAATTATAATCGCATTTAGTCTTAGTCTTTTATTATTGTTTTGAAAATGCCAATGTTGCCATGGGAGCAGTTGTTTTCACATGTTTTTTTAAGTTGTGAAGGCCACACATTCAGGACCTTCGACAGTATTTTCCAAAGCAGCAGCAAGTACAAATGGGAATATGAATGCTGTCACAGTGTGTGTTTCAGGACAATATTATTACGCCTTGCCAGCAAGGCCAGTTTTGTATCAAGGGTTCATTTGCCCTCAGTTTGCACAATCTCTGTGCCTGTGTCTCCTTCTTAAGAGAGCCTCCCTTTCCGACTTGGTTGTGGTGTTCAAGTAGCCTGGTGCGCAAGAGTGGCTTGGCCTGAGACCAAGGAGTCAGAGATCACACAACCAAATACATTCATGATTGAAAACAGCTGGCAAACAAAGGACACCCCTCTAAAACTAAAACAAGCCTCGCTCCTGCCACTATGTATGGAGAACAACAGAGAGAAGGAAGCTCAGTGCGCAGGTGATGGAGCTGCCAGGGTTGTTGTGGCAACTGCTGGTGTTGTACCGTGGTGGAGAATGGGTGGATGTGTCAGAGCTGGCTGGGTGAACAGCAGCGTGGACTGCTCCACCCTTCACCACAGGGCCTGGCTGTGGTGGGTTGCTTTGCAGGTCCCTTCTGGATGGCTCTCAGGGCAGATACTCCTTGCCTTGGCTTTGTGAGATTTTGCCTTGTCCAGTAAGAAATCATCTGGGTACTCTGGATCTGAATTGCAAGATGGGAGCAAAAGCCCTAAGTATCTTTTCATGTAATTCTTCTTCCTGTACTGAAGATATGGCAATGCCACTTGTTACTGTGTGCCCCAGAAGGAAAGCATCTTCACTGTTTATGACTGTGGGCCCGCGTATGGCTGGGATATTTGGTAACATAAACTTACAGCCCAGTTGCAGGTGCTACTGTGCTAAGGCTCTTTGTCCTTCTGTGTGTACGCCTACCAGTTTCTCAGCTTTACTAGGTTAACTGTTTGTCATGGTTTAGGCCAAATCGGCTACTGTGGACCTGGGGGACCCCAGATGGGACTGACAGATGTTCCCTTCTACTCTTCTTCAAAGAGAGAGGCAGAGGAGGAAAAAGACACTTATCAGTTTAGGAGGAACTAAACTACTTCAATGAAATATTAATAATAAAATAAAAGGAAATAATGAAATATATATGCAAAACCGTATCAAGCTCCCAGGATGACAGTCATGACACCGGCTTGCACTGGGGCAGTCCCAGGCTGGACTCAGTGATGGACGGGAACTGGATTGCAGATCTGCATTCAGGATCGGGATCAAAGGCAGACAAGCAGACAGAGTCCTCCTCCTCGGCCATTGAAGGAAGAGAGCTGACCCTTTGATCCCTCAGCTTTTATACTGAGCATGAGGCAGATGGGATGGAATACCCTGTTGGTCAGTTTTGTGTCACCTGTCCTGTCCACTCCTCCCCACAGGTGGGACCCCACTGCACTTTTCTGCTTCCAGCCCTCCAATGGGGCAAGTAACAAAGTTGGCTGCCCTTGGCTGTTATAGCAATAAGTGTAAGCAGGAGCCTCTCTGCATACCATGCCTGGGCATCAGCTATAAACGTAGGTCTTACCACTCTGAGGGAGCGAACAGTGTCTGCACAATATGCTGTTAATATCAGTAGTTAGAAGAGGCCTAGCTAAGAAGCAAAGTTACTGAACAAAATTGCTCCTGTTTTACCTCAAACCAGGACACTTCCCTAAGCGAGTCTACGGAAATTATCTGTTTGCTAAAAAATTCTAAACAAAAATTAAAGTTAAAAAAAACCCCAAACAGTTTAGCTTAAGATATATCTTGTTGGTACAGACCTGGGATGAGTAATAACTGTAAAAGCAGTTACACAAGCAAACCTCAGGACATGCTGACTTTAAGCACAAGTAAGAGTGAGCCTCTAGCAATGCCTGGGAGTAGGGACTTGGGAAGAATCAGTCAAACCAGGCATGGGATAAGC